AATTTGATCATCACTGGTTTTAATGATTGGTGCATAAATTTGAATAATAGTGGCATTAACTGGTCTTCCTTATAGGTGTATGCATATTATCCTATCTAAGTCAGCATTATACTTCAAGATAGATCTTGAAATTGACTTTTTGATGATGAATGTGATGCTATTCCTCCCAGTTTGTCATTCTCATCATAGTAAACCATATAATTGTCAGATTCAAAATGGCCAATTCCAGTTCATTTCAACTCAGTAATGCCTGGAAGTCCTGGTGTGTCGCTGTAGGATAAGCACTGGATTGCAAGATCAGTTTCAACTGCAAGGTCAGTGGTTCAAACCCACCAGTTAGTTACTCCTTGGAAACCCTATACAGGATTGCTATGAGTTGGAACTGACTCGATGGCTCTTAACGACAACAACAGCAATGTCTAGGATGTTGATATTTATGTTTTCTATTTCATTTTTGAATGCTTCCAATTTTCCTAGATTCATACATCGTACAGTCCATGTTTCAATTATTCATGGATGTTTGCAGCAGTCTCTCATTTTGAGTTGTGCCCCATCAGTAAATGAAGATCCTAAAAATTTTATAACATTTGCATAATCATGGTCAGTTCTACTTTGAAAAGGCAGCTCTTCTCCAGTCAGATTTTGAGTGCCCTCCAACTTAAAGGGCTCATCTTCTGGCACTATATCAGACAATATTCTAGTACTATTTGTAATGTTTCAATAAGCAATATTCTGGTGCTATCTGACAGTGTTCCACTGCTATTCATAAGGTTTTCAGTGGCTAAACATTCCTTGCATGGTGCTGTAGGATCAGCACTGTGCTTAGAACCACAAGGTCGGCAGTTCAATCCCACCAGCTGCTCCTTAGAAATCCTATACAAAGTCGTTATGAGCCGGAATCAACTCAGTGGCACTTAACAAAAAACATTCAGAAGTAGTGTGCCTCTCCTTTCTCTTAGTCTGTCTTAGTCTGGAAGCTCAGCTGTAACCTGTCCACCATGGATTATCCTACTGGTATTTAACATACCAGTGGTATAGCTTCCAGAATCACACCAACATGCAGACACCACAGCACAGCAAACTGACAGACAAGTGATGGACTGGAATCTTCCCAGGAGCAGGTAGCCAGGTCCTCCTTTCGTCTAACTGCTTGTTAGGTTTGAACCAAGCAGCTTGTTTGGTTAGCAACTGAGCTGGACCACCTAGGGCTCCTTTTAAGAGGATTTGTTGTTGTTGTGTGCCACTGAATCTGTTCTGACTCAGTGACCCTTTATAGGGTTTCCAAGGACCGGCTGGTGCATTTGAATCACCAACCTTGTGGTTAGTAGTCCAGTGCTTCTCCTACAGCAATACTCCAGGATGCCTTAAGAGGATTAGCAAATAGTATTTAGGGACCACTTGAGATTGTGGTAATGAAACTATATAAAGTTCAAAGCTGAGTTGAGAACTCAGCCAGCAAGGTTCAGCTGCTAGAGAAGCAGGATCAAACATGTGGGGAAAATTACTATTTATCTGAGACAGGGTTTCTTACCTTCTGTCTACTGACTGTGCTTGCTAATTCTTCGCTTGAGGTGGGAGTGGGGATGGGGTTGCTGTCTTATGCAGTGTAGGATGTTTAACTGCATCTCCCGTCTCGCTATTCGGTAGATGTTAGTAACACCCCCTACTTTATGGTTGTCAAAACTGAAATATCTTAAGACATTAATTATCCTGGAAGGTACAATTGCCTCTGGTTGAGAATCACTATTCTAAATTTAAATATTGTTTCTAAAATTTAAGTTAGGCCTTAGGTTGGTTTGAGGAAGGTGTTTGTTTTCCTTGTTAAAAATTGAAAGATACTCAGCTAAAGCAAGTTTAACTCTGTGATTGTTGTTAAGTGCTGTCAAGTCTGTTCCGACTCCTAGGGACCCTGTATAAGGTTTCCAAGGAGTGGCTGGTGAGTATGAACCACCAACCTTGTGGTTCAAACCAACCTTGAGGGCAAGTGCTTATCCTAAGGTGCCACACCAGGACCCCAATTAGTTACAATGAAAATGGGGGATAGAAGGTAATGGGTTTCTGAAGTATTTTTATCCTGGTGGGTGTTTATTTGAGAAAAGAAAAAAGCAGTGAAAATAAGTAAATAATATAACATATGTAGAGAGACCCCACCCCCAAATACCACTTGATATAATTTTGCCATAGTTGTAGCATTTAATTATAATTTTCATTCAACTGTTATAGCACTTGACCTCAAGGTTGGTTTGAACTGCAAGGTCAGTGGTTCAAACACACCAGCCGCTCCTTGAAATCTCTATATAGGGTTGCTGTGAGTCGGAACCCACTCAATGGCACACAACAACAACAAATTATTTGTATAATAAGCAAAAACACTAAAGATAAAGATGAAATGCTTCACTTAAGTTTTTTTACATCGTGGGTCCATATAAGCCTTCTTATGTAGTCTTTCTCTGCTATTCATAGAGTTTTCAGGTGGCATCATTGATGGCATCAAGTGTGGCAGCGATGGTGGGGTTGGCCCAGGATCGGACATTGTTTCGTTCTGCTGTGCATGGGGTCGCTATGAGTCAATTCCGACTCCATGGCACCTGACAATAACAACAACATGTAGTCTTTCTAGCTTTAGGTATTTGTCTAGAGCATATTTTTGGTTGGAGTGAAGAGGAGTTCTAAATTTTCTTTGTTCTCCTCAGTGAAAAACAAATTGTAGCAGCAGAAATTCTTGAATGATCTATTTCCTCTCATGGGGTATGGGACTTGAACGCTGCAATAAAGCAAGTGCTTTATACGCTGGGGCTTGTTTCTGGAATATTCCCATTGATTAGTTTTAGGCACTTTGTTATCTAGTTCTGCTATAACATCAACACTAAAAGTGGATAACTTTCACAGAAATTTATTTTCTTACAGTTTAGGATGCTAGATGTTCAAATTCAGGGTACCAACTATGTCAGCTCTAGAAGAAAGTCCTTTTTTCTTTTAGCTTCTACTCCTGGGTGATCTTCATGTGGCTTGACATCTCTTGTAGCCCGTTCTGGGCTTCTCACTTGCTTATTTAATCCCTTTTGGCACACCCTATAGTAATTCCTCGCCATTTACATAAAAAGACAACCCATTCCCAAATGGGATCATAACCACAGGCATACAGGTTAGGATTTACAACACATTTGAGATGAGGACATAATTCATAAGATCCTCTTTTGAGATTAAAAAAATCTCTACTTTTTATATTGTTTCATTACTTGTTTATTTTCACCTTTTCTCTTAGAAGCTATTCTATCCATGATTTGTTACTTTTATTAGTCTGTCAGAAAATGATTTTGATCATCATTCCTCTCTTTTGGATGTATTGTTATCTTTCATTCATTTTAATTCTTTGTTATTTCTTTACTATGACTTGTTCTTCCTCTTGTTTGCTAGCTTCTTAAATAAATGGTTTCCCTAGGTGGCGCAAACAATTTGCAAGCGCCTACTAAACACTTAACAACAACAACAACAACAACTAAGCTCTAACCTCAAGGTCAGCAATTTGCAACTACCAGCGGTTCCACAAGACAAAGATGAGGCTTTCTGCTCCTGTAAAGATTTACAGCCTCAGAAACCCTGTACAGGGTCGCTATGAATCGGAACCGATTTCACAGCACACCACCACCACCACCACCACTAACCTAAAGTTTGTACTTCGAACCCACCAGGTGGCACTGTGGAAGAAAAGCCTAGTAGATCTGTTTCCATGGAAACTATAGCCAAGGAAACCAATGGAGCAGTCCTAGTCTGTAAAACATGTGCTCACCATGATTTGGAATGAACTCTATGGTAATGGATGTGATTTTTTTGGCTCAGTGAATATTTAGTTCGTTTCTTTTCAGTAATTTAAAAAAATACAATGGAGTGCCCCTCTTAGGCAATCTTTAATGCTTTTTACCTTAAATTCTATTTTTTTAATTGAAAAATAAAAATGAAAAAATGTGTGAAAAATCCTAGCAGCTTAAGGAATTATCATATTAGACATGCTAGTGGGTTTGTCACCAGCAACCAGTTTCAGGACAGCATATCAGTATTACACCAGAAGCTCCCCTCAGGCCCCCATTAATAATAAGCTTTCTCTTTCCTGGTTATCACTACTCTAGCTACTAACATTGTAGTTTACTCATCTTCCTTTTGGTCAACATATAAATGAAATTGTGTTACAGATATTTTGAGTCTGGATAAGTTGGATCTGTTTGTAAAATCTAGTCCTGTGCTTGTGTGTAGCTTTTGCTTATTTTTATTTCTGTATATTATTCCATTTTCATGAATATAATACAATGTAAGTACCCATTTTACTGTTCATGGACATTTGGGTTGTTTCCAGTATTTGGCTACTAGAAATAATGCTATTATGAACTTCTTGAACATAAATTTCAGTGCATAGTTTCTAGGTATGTGAAACAATTAGATCATAGCACATTCATGTGTTCACATTTAATAGCTAGTGCCATCATGGTCTTCCCATGTGGCTGTAGTGATTCGCATTCCTTCTAGTAGAGTATCTTCAGTATCGCTTGTATTGTCAATCTTTTACAATTTTTAGCCATTCTTTTGACTGTGTAGTAGAGTCCTATTATGGTATTTGGTTTGTGGTCCCGTAGTAACTTCTTAAACCTTATTTTTGATCCTCTCTGCATTCTTTTATTTTTTTAGGTTCTTACATTGCCTTGAAGATACATTCTGCTACAGTTGGGTTACCACCCAGGTCTGGGTGATCTAGTAGTCTCAAGAAGACAGCTAGCCACCAATTGAGGAACATCACAGAGTGGCAGCCTCAACTGTCATCAATGATTGGGCAAGAGCTGCTCTCCAGAACAGAGTCTTCCTGGTGAACCAACAAACCCAAGAAAAATTATCATCGCCATCTGCTATATCACAAATATACCAATCCATTCAAAACTTTTTTTCCAGTATCCTCAACTATCTAAAACATACTAGAAACTTAGAAAGTGGCAACTTATTAATTACACACTATGAAGTCTAAGACCAACTGTGCTCAGAACCCAACTTGTAATATAATGATATTTCATCCAACCAAAGAAGAGTTTAATGATTTCGATAAATACATTGCTTATATGGAATCCCAAGGTGCTCACCGAGCAGGCCTGGCTAAGATAATTCCACCCAAGGAGTGGAAAGCCAGACAGAACTATGACAATATCAGTGACATTCTAATAGCCACACCCCTGCAACAGGTGGCCTCGGGGCGGGCAGGTGTCTTTACTCAATACCATAAAAAGAAGAAAGCCATGACTGTGGGGGAATATCGGCACTTGGCCAACAATGACAAATACTGTACTCCACCACACCTGGATTTTGAAGATTTGGAGCGAAAATACTGGAAGACTCGCCTCTATGATTCCCCGATCTATGGGGCCGACGTCAGCGGCTCCTTGTTCGATGACCACACCGAACACTGGAACCTTGGAAACCTGGGAACAATTCAGGACCTGCTGGAGCAGGAATGTGGAGTCGTCATCGAAGGAGTCAACACGCCTTACCTGTACTTTGGTATGTGGAAGACCACCTTCGCCTGGCACACAGAGGACATGGATCTCTACAGCATTAACTACCTGCACTTCGGGGAGCCCAAAACGTGGTACGCGGTGCCCCCAGAGCATGGCAGACGTCTGGAGCGCCTGGCCAGGGAGCTTTTCCCTGGCAGTTCTCGGGGCTGCAAGGCCTTCCTGAGGCACAAGGTGGCTCTCATTTCACCGAGCGTCCTGAGGGAGAATGGCATCCCCTTCAGTCGGATCACCCAGGAGGCTGGTGAGTTCATGGTGACTTTCCCCTATGGCTACCACGCTGGCTTCAATCACGGCTTCAACTGTGCAGAAGCCATCAATTTTGCCACCCCGCGTTGGGTAGATTATGGTAAACTGGCATCTCAGTGCAGCTGCGGGGAGGCCAGGGTCATGTTTTCCATGGACGCCTTCGTGCGCATTCTGCAACCTGAGCGCTATGAGCTGTGGAAACAGGGGCAGGACCGGGCTGCTGTGGACCACACGAAGCCTACAGCACTGACCAGCCAGGAGCTGACCGCCTGGAAGGAGACCCGGGCACCCGTGAGAGCCTCGCAGGGCCTGCGGCACCTCCCTCCCCGCCGAGCCCCACGCTCTCCTCGTCCTCTTGCTGCTAGCAGTGGTCCTCATCCCTGTGCCCTAGTGCGCACTGCCCCCATGCGCCCCTTTTCTAACCTAGATGCTGCTCTGCTACCCAAGACCACTAGCGCCACTTCCACTCCCTGCAGCCCTGTGGAACCCAACCAGAACCCGCCACTGGCCCAGCGTCCATTGGCCCCACTTCTCCAGCCTTCACCTGTTAGAAGGGGTCGTGGTCGTGGTCGTCGTCGTCGGGAATCTGAGCCTCAGGAGCAGACTGTCAAGGCCTCGGCCAAGAGGCGCCTCTCCGTGGGCACAGCTCACACCGCCCCAGGGCCTGAGGCTCAACGCCCGTCTGGGGATGGACCTTTGATGGACAACCCTGCCCTTCTGAGTCCTGGACCTCAACGTCCTGCTAAAACTTCAGGGTGTTGTTGTGCCCCACCCCACTAGCTGCAGGGGGGGGCTGTCTTTGTACCCCACTGCTCTTCTGTGTGGTAGTTTGCAGATACATTTACATCTCAGAGTTTTGGGGACAGTTTGCAGGACACTGGTTGTGTATGACAGAGCCCCTCCAGTTATGCTCCTGGACTCTGCTGAGTCTTGGTATTTTCCAAGTCCACTCTACCATGTTTTCCCTCCTCCACCTCAGGAATGTCTTTGGACACTGCAAACGTCTGCCACACCAGCTGAGGTTGCAGTCGCACAACCTCACTCTGGTGTGTCTGAGAACTGAGTACCACAGAAGGTACTAGAACTTGACCCTAGGCCACCTCTGGATCCACGGCACTTCTGACTCCTGGGCTTGGGTCTCCCTAACTTCTTTCTTCTCTTCCTCCTTCGCCTTGTCTTTTCCTTGCAATGTGGTCAGTAGAGCCTGAGAAAAAGCTTAATGACTTTACAGTTAATTGATGTATTTAAAATGTATCATCACCAGTGTTTGTTCACACATATATGTAACTAAGATGTTAAAATTGAACTTTATTTCTGAAATTGTAGTTTCAAAGAATTGGGGACGTGAGGGTGATATTCATTTATGCATTTTTCCTAAAAATTATTTCAAAACATTTAAATCAAAAACTTATTTTTATGGCCAGGTCAATGAATTTGGGACATGGTTTTTGGCTGGCTGGGGTGTTTTTTTTTTCCATCCAAACCTTGAACATGACTAGGCGGAGTTGACCTGATGCTGGCTGGGACCCAGGATGGGTAAGTTGCTGGAACGGAGTAGCAAACTTTTGAAAAAAGGGCCACCATCTGACTCCTCTCTCTCCAAGTCTCCATTCACTGCCTTTTAAAAGCTGTGGATTTTTCACTGTTAATTGATTTAGCCTAATAAGTCCACAAATAAATGAACAAGATGATTGTTCATCAAGTTGGTAATACATGTTGAGAAGAAATCAAAGTGGATGCGATGATAGATCAAGATGGGCAGAGTTGGGCTTAGAGAAGGTGGTGGGCAGGGAGGGCTCACAGAGCTCGAGATCTTTGTCATGATTTGCTGGTATGTTCGACTTTACACCAGGCTTGTATTTAAAAAACATTTATCCTCTGAAGACAAAGTTTCTGAAGAAAAATTCTTAACTGTCCCAATATTCTGTCGAATACTTTGGCCACATAATTTCTCCAGAGGTATTTCTATTGGTCACAAATGACAGGAGGCCAGTTTTCAAATCTCCCTCTCCCCTTCCCTCCCTTTCCTATGTTTTTGTGGTTACTGAAGGATTTGGATTCTTAAATTTCTCAGTGTTGGCCCATTCCCTATATAAATGTGTGGAAGCCTCCTGACCAGATTCCATTTAGCTTACAGCAAATCAGGGTGCTTTAAACAAAAGACATTTTAACACACCTATACTATGCTTTTCCAAATGTGGCCTAGATTTTTCCTTGTTTGTACACAGGATTTCTGGAAATGCTCTAGGCTTTCTTTTACAGAAACACAGAGGATATACCAAAGACCTGTAGGGCACTACAGCCTACAGCTTCACCCTGTAGCCAGAGAGTATCTTCTGGGTCTGTGGGCTGTAGCCACAATAGCAAAATTAGTACAAAACACCACTGTTAAGAGTGCTAGTAGGCTTTTTAGATATTTGCATATCTCATGTGGTATCGGTCACAGTGTTTGCTTTGACTCAACACCTGTCCACCAGTTGACTCACTTCCTATGCATTTCTCCTAGCCACATGTCTGTGACTTGTTTAAATCCTGTCATCCTTCTCCCCCAAACCACCTATATACAATAGCTTGGACTAGACAATTTTTTACCTCAAAAAAAGATCTAAGAGAAATCCCATTTGTTAGCTAATTCTGATTTAATTTTGTTTGAAGTAGATTTTTTTTTTTTTTTAATTTAAGGTTTTTATTGTGGATTGAGTAAAAGTTTACAGGGCAGATCATCAGTTTTACATTCAACAAATCATATACCTTGGTTCATTACAACAATGATAATCCCCTCCATGTACCATCAGTTGACAGTATTTCTCTCTATTCACTTCAGCAAATTTTTTTTAAAACACTCAGGCACATACAATAATTTACACCATCAAAGGGCACATTCTGCAAGTCTGCCTCCTGGCTGCCATCTCTTAGTGCCTCACTTACCATGAATCTCGAGTCCTCAGCTGCTCCCTCTCTCCATCTCTGGTATGGCTGCTTCTCTGGATAAGGTCTCGCATTCCACTTAGTGCTCTTCTCCCTTGATGATCCTAGGGTCCTTTATTTTTGGACTGTAAGATCTAACTACTCCCTTGTTTTTGTTACAAAACTAATACCTTTACAATTGTGAGAATTGCAATTAGTCATGACAACAATTACTCATTTTTGAATTGTAAGAATCTTATCCCTATCTTTTTAAATGTTTTATTGTGAATTATGTGATAGTTTACATGGAAGAACATTAGTTTTATATTCATTCTATCTTATATCATCTCATTGCCATGGTTACAATCCCCTCCATGTAATCCTTCCCCCGTACCCCCCATGTCTTCAGCACACAGTCACTCTCCCTCTCTGGATCTAAAGTCTCCAGCTGCCCCATCGCTCCATGTCATCATCTCTGCCTCTATTTCAGACATCACTGCTTCTCTGGGTAGGGTCCCGCTCTCTGCTCTTCTCCCTT